GGAATTTTGTGTGTTGACCTTTTAAGAGGCTCTCTGCATCTCCAGCCATCTCTCCCTGGCAGACAGAAAGCCTGATGCTTTTCACAGCTGAATGTTTTCTGGTTCCTTTCCCAGCTATGGTGCTGTAGGCTTGGGAGCCCAGCTTGGGGTTTAGACCCAACACTCTCAAGGGGAAGCCTCAGCTGTTGAACCATCCCTCCAGCACTTCAGCTGCTGCCTGTGGGAGCCCAGCCAGCCCTCTCAGGCCTCATCTACACTCCCTACGAGTCATGTTTGGTGAGGTGGCTCCTTCTGTCTGTCTGTGGTTATAAGGCTTCTCTCCAGTTAGTGTTCAGTTGGTTATTCAGAATGATTTCTCTACAATTGAGCTGTAATTCCAGCTTGGTCCTGAGGGGAGGTTAGTGTAGCTTCCAGTTACTCTTCTGCTCCCTTGGGTATGCCCTCTAAACTTATTAAAGGACTGGCAAGATTGAAAAAAAATAAGTTGTTCTTTGGATTTAAAAAAAAGAGGCATGCTGCTCTTTTTGAAAAATGTTGCCCTGGCTGACATAGCTCAGTGGATTGAGTGCGGACTGTGAACCAAAGTGTTGCAGGTTTGATTCCCAGTCAGGGTACATGCCTGGGTTGCAGACCATGACCCCCAACAACCACACATTGATGTTTCTCTCTCTCTCTCTCTCTTTCTCCCTCCCTTCCCTCTCTAAAAATAAATAAATAAAATATTTAAAAAAAAAGGAAAAAAAAGAAAAATGTTTCCATTGTTGCCAATTACCTTATTTCTACACTATATTTGCCTTGCTTAGGCAAAATTATTCTTAAACTTTATATCACTGCAGTGCTTTCCTTTTTTAAGGCCAAAACATGTGGCTCTTATTTCTTTTCTCAGCCCACTGACCTCTTTCTAATATGAGGCAGATCACCTCTGACATTCTGCTTTTTTATAAACTAATTTTCTGAGTAAATCAGAGTGGTAATTTTCACCATTACATATCTCTGTTTTTCATCACATCAAGTGCCATGTTATATTGTGCAAAATATGTATGTATTTAATACCTTTGTAAAATAAGATTGTTATTGTTTTGTACACATCAGAATTTCAATTTCAAAGTCATTGTGGTCCCTTGGGAAGTTATATACTCTGCATCTGAGATTTATATTCCTTATTTTCAATGGGAAAATAAGGAATATAAATCTTATTTATAAATAAGATTTATAAATAAGGAATATAAAGATTTATAAAAAATGAATATACATCTTATTTTCCCATTGAAAATAAGGAATATAAATCTTTAATTCCTTATGTATTAAAATAATCAAAGAAACTTCAATTCCTTATGTATTAAAATAATCAAAGAAACTAGTAAAGAGGAATAAAAAATGAAAGTGTTCATAAGGAAATGAGACTTACTGAAACTGATTTAGACAACTTATCAGCTGTTGTCTTTCACATTTTCTATTTGTATAGCTTTTGGTTTATGGGATCAGAAGCCTGATCTTGTCAATATAAAATTATGTTTATGCCATTTGATTAGTATTGTATAGTAAACTACTCTCAAATGTACTCTCAACTCTGAATTCTGTACTGCTACAGAATTTAAATTGCCTTTGAGGATAGAAGGGAGAATTAAGGCAAAGAAACAAATTGGTTCATGAGGGTAGAAACCCAATCAGCAAGCTCTCTTTCTGATGCAGTTACATTTTCTTTATTCCCATTCTTAAAGCCGTATTGTTACAGAACAGAACAAGGGGGGCCTGAGACAATATACTATTATTTAAAGAAGGCCCCGGGTCCGTTATGTCCGCCGCCAGAGGAAAGACGTCTCTCAATGCCAGAGATTCATGAAAAGGAAAGGAAATGTTTATTTAATGCTATGCTAACTTAAAGTAGTAACCTAATGTCTTTATCAAAAATCCCAAAGTCCCTTAAAACACCTACAAACATACACAGTCCTTCCTTCCTTCCCCCTTTGCTCAGTCCAGAGTACCATATCTCAGGAAAGGAAATAGAAGTCCATGGCTCAGGCAGTCCTCTGGTTCTTAGTTAGTCCTCCACCTCGACTGGGAGACCTCCCTGGGTACCCGGCACCCTCGGCTGAGTTGCCAGGATCTCTGCTAAAACCAGGTGGTGGTTCCCCCTTCTAAAGCTGTGGGGGTCCTCGTTCTGTCCAGGCCTCGTGGTTCTCCCTCTCAGGGCCACGGGAGTCTCCACTCTGTCAAGGCCGCGTGGTTCTCTCTCTCAGGGCTGCAGGAAGGGGAGAGTCCCCACTCTGCCAAAGCCGCATGGTTCTCCCTCATAAAGCAGCACGGTTCTCCCTCAATGGCTGAAGTCCTCCCTATTCTGCTAAAGACGCATAGTTCTCCCTCCTCAAGCAGCACGGTTCTCTTTCCTCAGGGCTGCGCATGGTTCTCCCTCCTAATGGCCGCCAAGTCTGGGTTTTAAATCCCCGAGGCCAATCTTCCTCTGCAGCCTCATTTCCAACTCCTCCCACACTCGGCTTCACTTGCCAGAATTCGTATCCTTCCAGCTTTACTGGGCTGCCATCTTGAGTCTGGGCAGGTGTGGCCCCATGTCCTGGAGCCAATCTTCTCCAAGCTCCCATGCAGGCGCTGTAGCTTGGGGGATCTGCCCCCAGTCACGTGTTGGTGGGGAAGTTACTTACATTCCCCTGGCTCAGAGATGATCACAGCTATTTAACATATCTAAGCGACCAGCCAAAGGCTATAGATATGTTAAATGACCAGGCCAGAGGGTAGCTGCAAGGCTGTTGCTATGCAAAACAGCTCTCAATGGCCTTGCTCCATTTGTCCCTTCCCCCAACCCACACCCTGGGTGGGGGGATGGAGACATCTTAAAATCTCCTGGACACCTTAAGTTCTGGACCCCATTTTAAATGCCCATTTGGGGTCCCCCCTCTAGGCTGCACCCTGTAACAGTATGATCATTTTCATTCAGTCAAGTCACAGCTCTTTTCATGAAAAGACAGTCAATATGAGTCATCTTTTAAGGATGAAGGTGACTAAGTTGTCATCAACACCAATACTTGAAGTTCTTGTAAGACATCAGTTGACCTTGCTTAAATTTCAGAAAATAAAATGTTAGTACACATGAACACATTTTTTCAGCATTGAAAAATTCTAGTCTATAATTTACCTGCTTGCTAGGAATAGAAGTAATACTTAAAGGTTTGTTGAGGTATCTTTTCTCAGAAATAGATTTGCCCTGGCCAGTGTGGCTCAGTCAGTTGGAGCATCCTCCCGAACACCAAAAGATTGCGAGTTAAATCCCCAGTTGGGGCACCTATGAGAAGCAAACTATCAATGTTTCTCTCTCTCTCTCTCCCCATTCCTCTTTCTCTAGAGTCAATGAAAAATATCCTCAGAAGAGGATTCAAAAAGAAAGAAATAGATTTAATACATAGAATTATTCCATTTTCCATGTGTGCTCTCTTTACTACCACCTAGTGGAATATATAAAGTTTGCCTGTCAGTTAACATTGGGAGATGGAAATGAATAAGATGAAATTTATCTCAGAAAAAAATTTCTATGATGATGAGTTATTGTTACTTTTTTAGTGTAATACAGGTTGCAAAACAGTACATAAGTTCAGAGTGAAGAAAGTCCAACAATTTATAATGTCTAATAAAATGCTTATCTACAAATAAAGCTATTTTGTTCAGAAACTTAGAAGCTAGGTAGAGACTGTATCTTGTCTATTGTACTTCTAAATTATGTTGAGAAGCTTCTCTTAATTATTCAATATAAGGGTCCATAAAAATATAAAATATCAAGCTTTAAAGCTCCTCTGATAGGAAGAGATCATTGTACTCAACTGATAAGTGAAAAAAATGCAGAAATAAGATAGTCTTTATGAAAGCTGTGAAGATAGATGTGTATATTCTAAGGTGTTCTCTCCCAAACAATGAAACCAAAAAAAAGGTGAATAAAACTTTAAGACTCTTCATTCTTTATCGGTGGGGGAGCCTCAGCCCCCATTAAAGAACAAACACAAACAAAACCTGTTGCTTGCTGACTAATTTCTTTAATGTGGTTACCTGTCACCTGGTGTCTATTTGCTGTGTGGCCACCAAGGCTAGTCCTCATGTTTACATGGAATGTGAGTGCAATCAGCTTCCCTTTTCCTAAGGGTGGCACACCTTTCAGATGGCCTCAGTGTGCACATATACAGATACACTTCTTTATGCTCACAATTTTTTTACCTACCTGGCTCTTGGTGACCTGGGCATAGGTAGGGGGAGCAGGGCCAAGGTAGTAGCGTGGGAAATATAATTAAAACTCAGAAAAAAATTTCCCGAGATCCACTTTCACTGTTTCACCAGACATTACAAAAGCCACAAATCCATTGGAATCGAGTTTCCTCTCACTCTTTCCCTGACTGGTTCCTACCCTAACCCAGCCAGACCAGGCTCCAGTGAAGACTCAACATGAGCATCAAAATGTCTTTGCCATTCATGACACAAGTTCCTGAGTCCTATCCTCTGCCTTTTGCGGGGGTACATTCATCTTGTCTGGTGTCTTTGCCTCTAGCATAGCTACACTCTTACTGTCTGGTACCTGTCATGTGTGTGAAAACAGAAGGTGAAGTTAGAGAAGCAAATATTATATTTCACTCCCAAAGACTAAAATCATGTCTGAGTTCTTCTTTTTTTCAATTTCCAATCAATGCAACATTGAAGGGGGTTATATAGTTAGTTGTTAAAAATATATGTCTCTAAAAACCCTACTAAAATAAAAATGGACATGTTTGCTTTTCCTCTAAAATCAAAACAACTCAGAAAGTAAAGCAAAGTGAAATGTAAGCACTCAATCCTCCGTGTTTTCTTGTTAGGAGATCATCAGGCTTTGCGTAAGTCAATGTTAGAAGTAACAGCTCCTGTCCTTAGATGGCCCCTTTGGGAGATAGTTACAGATCTGTCCTAGACTCTGAGACTGGTGTCAACATTTTAAATGGACAGTTATGTGTACTCTTCCTTTATTGCAGCCTTCTCTTGGAGTCAAGAAGCCTACGAAAGCCATGATCTTTGTGATCCTGAGCCCAGTGGGACCTTACTTCTCAAAGGAAACCTTAAAGCCAGTGTCCCTGTGGGCCAATCCGAAGTTTGTGCGAGCCTGGAAAGGTGGGACCGGGGACTGTAAGATGGGAGGGTAAGTAAGTCTGTGTGTTTGTCTTAAGGAAAGAGTTCCTCATGAGCATTTAGTTGTCTTTTCACTTCAATATGAATACATATAATACCATTTAATTTGTAATGCTCCTTTTAATTTTGTGTTTAGTTTTCAGTGTTTTCACTGTGGTAGTTGTTTGAAGGAAAACCTGTGGTCCTTTATAGGGAGAAACATTGGGTGTTCTGCATACACATCGTTTAAATCAGTGCTTTGAATGAACTGCCCCTGGACGCTGGTCCTCTGACTGCAGGCTGTTAGTTGGCATTAAAGAGCGTCTGGTGCTGGGGCCAAGGCCCTCCGACAGCTCCAGGGAGTCCTGTCTGGGGAATGTGCCTGCTTCATTGAAGTGCTGTCTTCATTGCCACAGATTGTAGCCATACCTGCTGCCAACTGGCTGAGGGACAGCCCTGCTTTGGCTCTGTCAGGCCAGTCTCATAGGCCATATGTAGCTGGCTGGAAATAAAGAGCATTTGAAAAGTGTTAGACAGTTTCTGGGGTGGACTTGGCTGTGACTGGGGAATGCCCCTATGGGTGAGCAAGAATAGCTGCATTAACCAGTGTGGACTCTTCTTTTGTGACTACCAAGTGCTTCTGTGCATCATGTATCCAGGGCAGCAGCAGCCCTGCATGGGTACTCAGTGACAATATTCTGGGCCCAGGTACAAAATGTAGATTCAGGAAATCCTGGGAGAGTCAAATGATGTAAGTGAGATGTTGAAGCTAGCTTTGACCCTTGTGTTGTCTGTCTGTATTTTTTACCCCCCAACAGTTATAACATTCTATGTGTTATCATCTTTGTTTTCAATGTAGAAACTGCATTCTGTCAATAGATAAAGAAATCCTAGTGTGGTTTGTTAAACCAAGAAGTGACTTTCCTTTCCATCTGGGTTAGAGCACTCCTTCCTGGGTATACTCAGCTAACCAGGTTGAAACGAATTCTGTTTACTCTCCTGGTTTCTATTTATCTTGTTCAGACTTCTTGATATGCACTGCATACCCTCTGTAGTATACTTTGTTAAAACTTCTCTTAACGTGCACATTATAGTAAATGAGCAATCTTGATAAAGAGGTCATAATTTAAAATAGATTTTCTTCCTTATGTCTTGCTTTCTAGCTCCCCCTACCTGCCTAGGGAAAAAATTAACATGGGGACATTGAGAAATTGCAGGGATGGCTTTAGTTTTTCTGTGTGGGCTGGTTGCTATTTATTTGTTTACTTTTTAAAGATTTTATTTATTTCTAGACAGAGGGGAAAGGAGGGAGAAAGAGAAGGAAAGAAACATCAATGTATGGTTGCCTCTTGCACACGCCCCCTATTAGGGACCTGGCCAGCAACCCAGGCGTGTGCCCTGACTGTGAATCAAATTGAGGAACCTTTGGTTTGCAGGCCAGTGCTCAATCTACTGAGCCACACCAGCCAAGGCTAAAGTATATATATTTTTTAATTAATATTTTGACTCATTAGGCTCAGGTAGAGCAGCAGGTCAATAGAAGTTGACTTGAAATCTCCCTGAGAGAAAAGTATTTGATCTCATAAATGTACATAGAAGCAAGAATCACCAGTGGGAAGGCAATAACCAAAAGAACAGACTTTGAACCCATCCACCTGTTGTTTCCAAGGAGTTCTAAAGCTCCCTACTTCCAGCCTGGAAAGGTGCAAGGGAAACAAGTGATTCTGCGTTTAGTGTCAACCTGTTTGCTTCGCAGGGACATTTTGTCAGCAACCTTAGATTCACATATTATTGCATATTCTCTAAACCTAATTAATTCAACAATTACTTTCTTAGACTTTTTAAGGACCTTTGTCATCAACTAGCATTTATTTAAAAAGCTGTTGAATCTCATAAGTTCAAATATTTTCTAAGTGAATCTGAGAGAAAGATTTTTTTAATTCTAAGATTATTCCACTATTTTGAAGCCCTCAGAGATAATATTATCCTTTTGTTTCTAAATATACATGACAAAAATAATACAATGGCACACAGCTTAAGGAGAGTTCTAGCACCCAGTTCTCACCTGTGGCTGCAAACTGTAACCACCCAGAGAGCTTTACCTGCTACTAATGTCTGGATCCCATTGCTAGTGATTCCGGTTTCTTGAGTCTGGCATATAGCCTGAGCATCAGCATTTTTAAAACGTGCCCCCAGAGTTGAGAAATACTGAGTCAGAGGGTCTTTCATCGTAGGAGCATATTCATTCCTAGGCAATATCTTAGCTTCTTAGTTACCCGTATTTTTTGGACTACAAGACGCACTTATTTTCCCCCAAATTTGGGAGGAAAAATGGTTGTTAATGCTGCTGTTTATATTTACATTGGTAAAATAGTATGTTATTTATGTTATTAAATATTTTATCACATCTTTTGCTTCAATTTTTTTCCCTATTTTCCTCTAAAACCTAGGTGTGTCTTATGGTCTGAAAAATAAGGTAAGTTGAAAAGATCAGGCCAGCCCCTTCTCCATCCATGTCTTAAATTTTTTGTGTGTTTTTGGGGGTTTTTTTTTGCATTCTTACTCCTCACTTGAGTGCATGCTTTGAAGTTAAAAAGTCCTGGCTTAAAAACTGAAATGCCCTAGGCATGCCACTTAACTGCTCTAAGCCTCAGTTTCCTCCTTTATAAAATCAGGGTAGTGATGCCCACCATCCCTGTGAGAAGTGCCCAGCACCATGGTTGACACATGGGAAGCTCTCAGTAAGTGTGGTGTCATAACCTGGCAGTGAATAAGGGCGTGGCCTTGGGAGTCAGATATCTGGGACTCACACACTTTTATCTGTGTGATCTTGTACCATTAAGTTCTCTTTGCCTGCAAATCCTCAAACGTGTAATAAAGTCTAGGGCTGTTTTATGATGAGCCAATGAAACAATGGGGTTACATACCTAGTACCCGGTCTGGCAAGTAGGAACTTCTCAACAGACAGTAGTTGATATTATGAGGCTTTTTTTTACTCTTTTGGAGAAATGTCTTTAATATTTCTTTTCTCAGATATTTATTGTATTTAAAATTATATTAATTTTTTATGTAGATGGTTTTTTCATTTTTCTCTTTCCTCCAAGGAATGTGTTTCTTTTCTGAATATTGGCAGTATGTAGGAGTGAACCCAAATATATACATATTATTATGGTATCACTTACCCTGAGGATATTAATAATGCAGTTTGTGCCTGAGAGAATTTTGAGAAAAATGTGTGTTTAGAAAAAAAATACCATGTATAGAATATGATAATTAAACCAAACAAAAACCCCTTTCCTTTCAATGCACTTAAATAATGTGCTTTAATTCTCTTTCTTGCCCTTATAGTTTTATGTTGTTGAGGAGCCATAGTTTTAATTCTGCCACACTCTCAAAAGCGTGTGTGTGTTTGTTTTTAGAAGGTTCTTCCAAAGGCTAAATATTCATACTGTGAAAACTATGTGTTCTTGTGAAAAATGAAATTCTACTATGAGAAAACTAATTTACCTATTGTCAGGTATGGTACAATCTCAATAGTTGTATCTGTGAACTAGAAAAAAGTCAGTTATAATAGTTATATATGTTTTTTACATATTAGAACCTTATGTAACCTGTTTCTTAGCTTTTATTGTTATTATTTTATTTTTCACATACAACCCTATGCAGTATTTATATAAAGCAAGAGTTTTCATTTGTCAGATGAATTCAGTGAGCCAAAAACTGTGACCTGAGTTCACACAGAGCCAAAGAGTAGAAGTGCGGGAGCTGCACCTGGACTCAGGATGGCCTGCCCTCCAGGCTCTCTGCTGGACATCCCCCTAAAGTTGGGTTAATGCTCACTATTCAAAACTATTCATAATGTAACTCAGTTACTGCCTATTCATCATCAATTTTAAATAAAGGTTATGTGCATTTTTATTAAATAAAATCCTTATATGACAAAATTGTGTCATCTTTAGATTAACCAATGATTTATATTTTATTATCTGCATTTTGAGAATCTTTTCTTATTTAACCTTTATTGTGTTTTTTTCCCATTACTATTTAGTCCCCTTATAGCCCCTCCCCCAGCAATCCTCACACTGTTGTCCAGCTCATGAGTCTCTCTTCCTTTTCGTTCAATCCCTCTACCCCTAACCCAGCCCCCTGCTCCAGCTGTCATCCTGCTCTCCTTCTGTAAGTCTGTGCCCATTTTCCTTGTTAGCTCAATTTGTTCATTAGATGCTGCATATGAGTGAAATTATGTGGTATTTGTCATTCTCTGACTGGCTTATTTCACTTAGCATAATGTTCTTCAGGTCTATCCATATTGTTGCAAAGGGTAAAATTTTCTTCTATTTTATGGCCAAGTAGTATCTCATTGTGTAAATGTCTCATAGATATTTTATCCACTCATCAATTGATGAACACTTGGGCTGCTTCCATATCTTGACGATTGTAAATAATGCTGCAATGAACAGACAGACGGGTGCTTATGTTCTTTCAAATTAGTGTTTTGGGTTTGTTTGGATATATTCCCAGAAGTGGGATCACTGGGTTGAAAGGGAGATCCACTTTTAATTTTTTGAGGCATCCCCACAGTGCTTTCCACAGTGGCTACACCAGTCTGCCTTCCCACCAACAGTGCAAAAGAATTCCCCTTTCTCCACATCCTCATCAGCACTTGCTGTTTGGTGATTTATTGATGATAGCCAATCTGATAGATATCAGATGATATCTCATTGTGGTTTTAATTTTCATTTCTCTGATGATTAGTGGCATTGAACATCTTTTCACGTGTCTTCTTTTAATGACTCTTACATTACTTCCATGTGAGTAAACCTTCTCATGCTCCAGATTGCTATAGCCGTGGAGTATAATGCTTTTTTTTTCATAGTTTCTAGAGTAGTTTAGTTATTAGTCAACATTCTTTCAGTTGCAAGTCAGAAAACCAACTCGAGCCATTTTAAGCAGGAAAAGTATTGATTGGCTCATCTAGATAGGGCTCTGTGGAGGGCTCAAATTGTTGCCAGGTTTTGCATGCCCTCGCATGTGTCCTACCAACCCCCTTCTGCCCCCATCTCTTGTCATAGTGTCTGGCTAAGTGTTAGCCTAGGGCTCTCCAATTTTGGGTGTCTTCTCCTGTGAAGGCTGGTAATCAGGGACACAGTAGACCCCAGGCTACATCATTGCAAATAAGCGGCCGCCATCGTTGAAGCGAGAAGACTCTATCTTTCACATCCTAAAGATTAAAATGAACTCAAAGAAGGATTTACATGAGCAGCTTAGGTTACACACCCACCCTTTAATTCAGTTGGGCAGGGCAAGATGCTAGACTGTCTAACTGAGTAGGATGCTTTGGCTGCATAGGAAGTGCCACGGAGACTGGAGGGGAGGGAAGGGAAGCCGTGCAGGTGAGAATGGCAGATCACCACTGTACTGTGCAGCTCTTGTGCTTAACTGACATGTTTTCTTAGACAATACTCTACATTTGCATCTTGCCCGTATGTAAAAGTGACCACTTAAAAGGCCTGGAAGGGTATTTTGTGGAAGATAACATTCCTGCTTTGTTGTAGTTCTTTTATGTGTGGCAGTTGCTTGTTTTTGTGTACTTCAAGGGCTTCACTGTCCAATAGTGGGTCTTGGGTTTATTTCCTACCCTTGACAGTGATGTGGTCATGCTTCTCAAACTTGTTTGCTCATATCCTTTGAAAGCCAAGGAAAGAGAATTATATAACCAGGGGCTGAGGGTCAAGCAAGTATCACATTTATTTGAGGACTCTCATGTTTTATTTTAAACATTCATTCATACCTTGCAATATATGCTGTTTAAGTTGAATAAAAAATAAATTAAAAATATTATCAAGCTAATTTGCCATTCTAGGAAGATGTATCATGTCCCTTTGATTTTGAATAACTCAAGATAAAGAGTGCAGGTTGAGGAAAATGGACTTTGAGAATTCTTTTTTGTTAAAATAAGGATTTTTAACATCTTGTCCCACATTTTGGACAAGTAGACATTTCTTAGGTATATTGAAAGGTCTCTGTTAAGAGAGCACAGACTTGATGTTCTTCTACTTAATTGCTGTTACTTGATACAAGTTACTTCTCTAAGCCTCAACTTCTCATTTGAATTATGGAAATAATAATAGGAACTGACTCAGTACTGGTGTGAGATTTAAATGAAATAATGCATGTAAAATTGTTTGGTAGGTGAAAAAATACACAGTAAGGTAAATTTTGTCCATTTGGCTATTTGTGTTCTCATATCTCTACTTTTCAAGTTAGAGTTCCATAATTTGTTTTACTTTCTCTCTTCCTCTCTCCCTCAAATCAGTGCAGTTAAATCATTTAGGTTCTAATTTAATGTTATGCTGTTAACTAGAGAGTATATGTATATTAAGAACATAGTACACTGATTACATCCATGGTGAATTAAAGGCGAGTATTTTAGCATAAAAATGGGGGTAAAGGCTGAAGTATATTCATAATCAGTATGTTTCCTATTTCTTAAAAGGAATTATGGCTCATCTCTTCTTGCCCAGTATGAAGCCTTGGATAACGGGTGTCAGCAGGTTCTGTGGCTCTATGGAGAGGATAACCAGATAACAGAAGTTGGAACTATGAATCTTTTCCTTTACTGGATAAATGAAGATGGAGGTAATGCACTTAGATGTCAGCTCCTTGCTTGTTTTTTTTTCCTTCAGTCATTTTCAGTGGGATTGGGAAGATAAGAACTAGAACCTCAGAACAAGGGAATAAGTAGCACAATTCCAATGTCTTAAGAATACTGTGCTTTTGCCATCCAAATAGATTGTGAGTTTACAGAATTTGTGATCGTTTTGTTTTTTGTTGTTTTGACTCTAGATGTACTTATTTTAAACATACTGCTCTATCATGGGATTGTACTTAGATCCTGGTTCATTTATTAGTGAGATGTCAACATAAGAAATTTAAATCTACACAGTTTAAAGATTTGCTGCCTTACCCCTTTTGCTATCTTTAACATTTTTCTGATTAGAAATCCTTTGTATTTGGAGATAGCGCTCAGATCAATTCAATGGTCATATACCACCTACTATGAATGAGATGCTATAGTAATAAACACAGTCTACTGATTCTGCTGATGTGCCATTTAGTATATTCCCTTGCTATAATTCTTTCAACCATTGTTGCCCTTCATACATATTTTGGGAATGTCTCAGGAGCCTTGCAGATTTACTCTGGAGCTCAATTTGGTTGAGCTCCAGAGTAAAAGACATGTATTTTTAAAGACATACTACTCTATGTTGGGATTGTACTTAGATCCTGGTTCATTTAAGTCTGTTAATATACTTGTATGTCTACTATAAAAATCAGTACTTCTTTAGTATCTTTAATATCCTGAATGCTCATTGTATCTCTTTGCTATTTTTTTTTTACTATTAGTTTCCAGAGACCATAGTAGTTCAGTGAAATTCAGTGTCTGTGGTATTGAATTAAATGGCCATTAATAGGGGAGGAGGTGAGAATACAGATGTATACATTTATTTCTAGTAGAATTTTAATAGTCATAAAATATTTTAAAAACATTTTTAGGCTTGTTTGCATTTTTAGGCTGTTAATTTCACAATATGGAGTATAGAAATGTAAAATGTTCTTGAATAATTTACCAATACTTATAGAGTCTAATAATGGTTTCACATAACTTTTATTTATTTATTTATTTTTGTTTAAGATGTATTTATTTATTTACTTATTTTTAGAGAGAGAGGAAAGAAGGGAGAAAGAGAGGAAGAGAAACATTAATATGTGGTTGCTTCTCGAGTTCCCCCAGCTGGGGACCTGGCCCAGAACCCAGGCATGTGCCCTGACAGGGAATCAAACTCTTGGGAGTGACCCTTCGCTTCTCTGGCTGGCACTCAATCAACTGAGTCACACCAGCCAGGGCTTAAATAAAATATTAAGTGAAATTTTTATTTTGAAGTAGCTAGAGTAGTCTCTATTGCTCTGTTTTAATTTGGCTACAAATAGAGAAAAATGGTGACTTGTGGCTGACACTAGAGCCATACAGCAATCTGAGCATTAGTTGCCGAGACTAATAAGACTGAGCCTTGCATTGCAGTGAGAGGCAGATAAACGAAGGTGTGAGTACACCTTGTCCTGGGATTGGTAATCCTTGGCATATGAAGAGGCAGATACAGATCATACTCATTCTTCCGTTCTTGCTGTTTATACTTGGCACTATTTAAGAATATAATTTATACTGGAATATTTGTGATTTCTAAATTTGAGTTATTGCATATGACATATATCAAAAGCTATGCTTGAAAGATGACAGCCAGTGTTGAACTCAGCACTTAGGAGATAATAGATTGATTCAACTCATTCTTCCCACCTGCCCACTCCCTACTCTCATCCCCCCCACCCCAAAACCCACACAACTCCAAATGAAAACAATTACATCAGACAGAAGTGGCAACATCATTATTTCTGGATGGAAGATGTCAGGATTTAAGCACAGTCTGAATCAGAGCTACATGATTTAACCAGAAACAGTCTGGGTGAAAAATTATCCCTTATACAAACAATTATCATGGACCATTTCCACTATGGCTTTTAAAGGTCAGAATAGAAATGAGTGAATTTGTCTTCTGACTCTTATAAAATACACAAGACTTTAAGAATTATTATTCAGATTATGGTGGCCTGAGATAACCTCAGAGTTTAATGTGAATGTGCCCCTTCAACTTGAGGGTATTCACCTAACGGATTAAATAAACGCTGAAGTAAAGAGAAAGGAAACTGAATACATGTTTGGACAGCACTGTGAGAGGAATTAGTAGAATGTTAGGAGTAACCTTTGTGCTAAAACCTAAAGGAGACATTGAGGCAACTCTATAGTAACTTTGATTTAACCATGTAGGTTTATGAAAATATAGAGAATAATAAGTTGAAAATCAGCAAAATATTGATTTTCACAAGCTTTACTGACAACAGGTATAAGCCCAGCTCTTATAGTGATAATCTGCTGTCTTCTATGAGCACGCACTTTCCCCGATTCTTTTGGACAAATGGCTGCCCCAGGAAGGTCGATCAGGTAGACCGTCTGTTCACAGGGCAGCACCGTGCATGATGACTCCATGCGGCACTTGTTCCGTCACTCGTGGTTTCTGATTGCAGTAACGGCATCCCGAGGGTATGATCACGCAGACCCAATTCTCTTTCCTGCTCAGCTGATGAGTAATTTAAAACACACTTGCTATTCACTGTTGGAACAATTTTTACCTTGTACTGGACTGTAGAGCTGCCCTGAGAATTGGACTCAGTTATTGTGGTTGAGTTCATAGACAGTTTGGGAGAACGGTCATGGCAATGAGTGTTGATGTTGCTCAGTCTGCTCAGGCCCTAGGAGACTTCTTGGGCATCAGGCATTTACACCAACTTTGCTTGGAACATTCTTTCCTCCAATGCCCGCTGGCTTTGCTGGCTCACTCCTACACTGCCTTCAAGTCTTTGCCCACATCTCTCATTCTCAGGAAGGCTTTCATTGAGCACCTTAATAAAAATGGCAAACTCCTTCCCCTCATGTCCCAGCATTTATCACTTTTTCTCTTTTCTTTTTTCTCCATGGTCTAACATACTATTTAACATGATCATTATTTGCCTCTGCCTATTAGAAACTAAGCAAGGAGTTCTGCCAGTTCTGCTCCCTGCTGTATCCTTCGTGCATAGATAGCCAACTGCAGGTGGTAGGCACCCAATATACAGATGCTCCTCACGATGGAGTTTCATCCTGATAAGCCCATCATTAAATTTTAAAGATAAAGTTAAAAATGCATTTCATACACCTAACCTACCAAACATCATAGCTTAGCCTAGCCTACCTTAAATGTGCTCAGAACACCACATCCCAAACACTGGTGACACAGTGCACGTCGAGTACCAGCCATTTACCCTCATGACTGCGTGGCTGCCGGGGAGCTGGGACTTGCTGCTGCTGCCCCGCACTAGGAGAGAGTGTTGCAGTGTATCCATCTCCAGCCCGGGAACAGATCAACATTCAAAGTTTGTTTTTTACTGAATGGGAATGACTTTCACACCATCTTAAAGCCCTAAGTCAAGCCATCATTAAGTTGGGCCTGTCTGTAGATTTGTTGAATAAATGAATAACTGTGCTGATGGTATTTGGGGCACTGACGCAAACCCACATTCCTGGTTCTCATTAGTGCTTGACTTCGGGATGTCACAGATGAATCCTGCTGTTATTGCTTCCAAATTCTTCAGCTCCTAAAAATGGTTTTTCTGTCAAAAACAAGCTACATTTGTAGGCTCTGTTTTCCTCCTGTTGGGCAATCTGGAGCCAGTTCTGGCTCTTGTAAGCATGTTTGTGGTTGCAGAGGAAAATGAATATTTCTCACCCAAATGTTGTCATGTCATCATCTCTGTCTGGCAACCAGAGAAACAGATGTTCTGTTCCTTGACCTCAGGCTAGTGGTTACAGTTTGGGTGTTAAATATATTTCACAAAACTGGATTTGCACATACGGGGCCGCTGTTCGCATTTAACTTGATAGAATCTCAGAGCTCAGCAAGCTTCAGGAAAGGTCCAGTTTGGGGGCACCGGAAGTATGTTTTCTACATGTGTGGTGTGTGTTTGCATATCAACACACACCACACACGTAGATCCATACATTCATGTGACGAGCTAGCCAGCTATTGCAAAGCACAGGTTTATTTTTGAGAGTAACATTTCAAACGGGATAACAAGTAGCCCCAAAGACATTGCCAAGACCAAATTTTCCTCTTTCCAGAAAGCAGTTTTCAGCAGATGATTTTTAAACACAAAATTAAAAAAAAAAACCACACTGCTGTGTCCTAGCAAAGAGGATTATTTATTTATCTTTTTATGCAGAAACACATACTACATGCCACCCTGAGCCACGGAGAGTGCTTGGGTCTGGGGGACATGGGAGTAAATGTAGAGTTTTGGTCTTCTAGGCTTGTTTGCTGGGGATGTCTGTCGTGATGGCAGTGGAGCAGACCAGCCTTGACCCCCGTCTACTAAGGGAAAGGGAAAGAGACCCCTGTGTTGTGACACTTAAGGCCTGGCCCATCCCGCAGTATCACCAACCTTACAAATCACTGATGTTTACAGGATTTCGGTTTCTTCTGTAAAATAAGGATTGCACTAGGTGATTTCCAAAGTCCCTGTTAGCTGCACAGCATGGCTTGGGGGAGCTCAGAGACACCAGTTATGATTTCTACACCCACTTTTGTCATCCGGTGATCCTTCCAAGCATACCTTGTAAATTCCTCTACAAACATACAGTGGGCAACGCATCGTCTGTTACAAGCTTTAACATCTTCATAAAGCAGTGAATGAGTTAAGGCTTGAATTTCCCACAAGATGAAGATTTCTGGGTGCCAGGCATGAGGAAGAGAGGACGAAGCTGGCTATTGGGGAGTTCCTTCTTTAAGGAGTGTCTGTGGCTGACGGACCACACCGGCTCTGTAGATGGGCCATCATGCCAAGCCTCACGGTGGTTTGGAGTGCCCGTGGTCTTTCTCGAGTGGACCAGTGTCTCAGTGGCCTTGGCTCTCTCTGAGTCATCTCTGAAATTTTGTGTTGATTTTTTGGATTTCTTTTTTTCTTTTCTTTTTTGTTAGCCATATATGCTTGAGCCCATCCTGAGCCCATTACATTGAAACTTAGAAGGTGAAGTCAGCAACTCCGTATATGATGTGGGTAGTAATTCTACAGTGTAAAAATCACTTTAGAGAGAGAGTTGTTAAACAGTAGTCTGGGAGCAGTGGCCGGCAAGCACAGGCATCCACACTTTACAGGGGTGGGCTTCTCCACAGTATTCTTAAAAGGTTTATTAATGACCATTATTCTTGAGTCAGATCCTATCTCCATTATTCTAATCACTAACCAGCTTTAATCCACTGAAGTAAAATTTTCTACTAAAAAAACTCTTACTGTTTTTTAGTAGAAAACCACCTCACTTTTTTACTGGTTAAAGATAAATGAAAGGTGAGAAATTTGAAAGTTGTGAGCCCTGGCTGGCGTAGCTCAGTGGATTGAGCCCGGGCTGCGAACCAAAGTGTCGCAGGTTCGATTCCCAGTCAGAGTATATGCCTGGGTTGCAGGCCATGACCCCCAGCAACCGCACATTGATGTTTCTCTCTCTCTCTCTTTCTCCCTCCCTTCCCTCTCTAAAAATAAATAAATAAAATATTTTTAAAAAGATACATGAAAGGTGATTAGATGAGTGGCTTGCCTTCTTTTTTTTCTTTTTCTTCTTCCTCCTCAACTTCTTTTTCTTCTTTTAATAAAGATCTACCTGAAGTGTGAATAGATTTGAGAAATTTGACAATGCAGAATAGTAACATTATCTCCATGTTTATTACTAGCAAATTTGTAAGAAGCAGGTTGCTTTTTTTTTTTAATGGCTACTGATATAAGGCATGGCTAATACAGTTAAAGTTTGAAAATAATTCCAATTTCTAATTGACAGAAGAAGAACTGGCAACTCCACCACTAGATGGCATCATTCTTCCAGGAGTGATGAGACAGAGCGTTCTGGATCTGGCTGGCAAGTGGGTGGGTCTTTGACATGAACAACTTTTATAAGCATGAAAAAAAAATCACAGTAAGCCCAGCTTAGTGTTGAAATAATATCCTGTAGTTGCAACCAATGTTATCTAATCTTTAATCTTAATTTGAGTGAAAAGAACTCTTCTAGGAGTGTTTTGGCAAGACTATCAAATAAGTATTGTTTATAAGGTGGGCAGGGAGAACCCGTTTGGCAGGTTGTCCTAGTGAAGAAGTATTCTAGTGCTAGTCTCAAGCTCCATATCTGGGTCTCCTTCCAACTCACCTGGTTTGTACTATGTATGCTTCCATTTAGCCAGTCCTTAACTTTTCAAGTCTAAGTGTATCGTTTCCACATGGCAACGAGTGATGCATAGTTCTTCTCATCCTCTATTTATTCCAGTGTAACCATGCTTAGTGTAGAAATTAAAGAATTTTACCAACATGAATGTTTACTAGCATGACATTATTAGTTTAGCTGCCCTCTTTTTCCTTCCTTCCTGCCCCTTGTACTCCCAAATTCACATACATACTTATTTTAAAACCAAACACTCAAGCGAGTATACAGTTGTTTTCAGTAGACTTTCTGATTCATGTGACACAAGCAAGCACGTTAAACTGTTTAGTATTGGAAACGACATTGTAACATACTCAAAATGAATGTTGAATGAGCTAGTTATCTGGCAAAGGTTCTTGGGTATAACTTTTGACCCATGTGTTAAACTGATGTTTAGGGCACATGAAAAGGCTCTGAACAAGCTGTGGTCAAACTGTACTAATAGGGCAAATGTTTAGAAACACACACATTATCTAGGAGACTATTAGCATAGTCTCTCTGGAAAAGACTTTGGAAATAGAGAAACTGGGCCTTGTCTACTACAGGATTTTGTAGAATTATTTATAGCACAACTGCCACATGCTGGCTGGCACATTGGGCATGACATTTACAAACTGTTTGTATAATTTCAAACAGCTTGCCCTGTCCTAAATATGTTTGCAGTTGGAAAGATGTAGTTTCTAAGCTCAGTAATTTTTGTTTTATTAAAGAAAGAATTCAACCAAGTCCAGAAGGTTGGATGACAAGTTGCAAGTGGAAATGCTTTCCCACACTAATGATTTGCTAGCATGAAAATAGGTTATTATAGAGGAAGTTTTTTCTTGACTCCTTAGCTGTAATTTATTTTAAAAGCTATTTTAAAACAGTGAGACATAAATGCCAAGAGGCATGTGGGGGGTTACCATGACTTGCCAGACAGGGAAAATTGTCCAAAGATAAGTAAGAGTGAGCAGAGTAAAAACAATTCTGTATATTTATGAGATTTTATTTTTCTTTTCCAGAACACAGAGCTCAGCTTGTTTTCAGTTAACTTGGCTGATTTTCTGGAATTTATTTACCTTTGAACAACATAATTGAAATTATAGACTAAGATAAATTGAAACTTGCAAAAAGCCATATTTCTATCATAGGCATTTTTTCCTGCCCTTCCAAATAATAAATATACTTACAGCATGATGCATTCTTCTCCCAGTGTTTTGAATCTTGCCAATGGCTGTGATTTCCATTTTTATCTGTTGAGGGTTTGTAGGTTTAAAAAATAATCTTTATTTTTTTAAAAAATCTATTCATTCTTTGTTGTCCTTAATTAAAATGGCCTGTTGACAAACTTTGAACTTTAACCACTAACATAAAAGAGTGAGAATTACACAGATGAAAGGATGCATATTAAATAGATAGCTTAAACAGATAGCTTAAAAAATCATTGGGTTTTTTTGTTTTGTTTTGTTTTCATTTCTTATCCTGGAGCAAATAAAACATTGAAATAGTTCAGCAGAAGTCGATGAGGTTACACCAATAATTCTGCAGTGAAACTCAATCTAATACGGCACTAAGAAGAAGGGAGGGAATTACTGCCATAAAGTCAACTGAATCAGTGAACTTAATTTATGAAGAAAAAATATACAGTGTACTTTCTCATATGAAGTCCAAATATACTCTTGATATTTTAAAATAATGAAATCTTTCAGATATTTAAACCCAGTCCATGTTTTTATTTTATAAAAGACACAGTAGAGCAAGGACCACATTTGGAGCAAGTTGGATCAGATCTAAACTCAGACACACTTTCTGCCACTGACTAGCTGTGTGGCCTTATGGCTGTCACTCGACTTCCTCAACCCTTTATTTCTTTATCTGTAAAATGGGGATGATAACACCCACTATAAAAAAGAGAGCTTGGCATGCAGTGGATACTCAATAAATGGTAGCTATAATTATTAATGTTATGATACCATATTCTTTTTTATGATAAATAGGATCTAAGACACTGTTAGCATAGAGCACAAATTATGCAGCACCGCCATGCATAACTAGTGAGGCTTTAGCCATGACAACATATAAAAGGCAAAAAAAAAGCTGACATGTATTAAAATATACCATGCATTTTATAATGACAATCTTATCTTTTATATTCAGATCATCTGGTTTAGAGAGGCTGTGACTTTGGAGCAGGTTGCTTAACACGTCAGTGTGTTTACCAGTAAGATGGTATTGCTTTCTTCAGCTTTCCTTCTAAGGGTGGCATGACATTATCTGGGTCCAAAAAGAATGTAAAGTAGAAAGGCAGTGCAGGGTTTTTTTTCTTTTTTTTTTGCATGCCTTTTCCTTGGAAACAGGTATTTTTTAATATTTTATATTGCAAACGGTGAAATTTTTTTTGGTTAAAATGACTCAATGTCTCTTGAATCCCCCCCACCTTTTTTTTTTTTTTTGCAAACAGGGTGAATTCAAGGTATCGGAGAGACACCTCACCATGGGGGACCTGACAACAGCCCTGGAGCAGAGCCGAGTGAAGGAGATGTTCGGCACCGGCACGGCCTGCATCATTTGCCCGGTTTCCGACATACTGTACAAAGGCGAGGTAAGACAGTGTTTCCTCACCACCTGCCATTTCTAAAAGTATGGCCTATAATTGAATTATTTTAAATGTGTGAACAAAATGCTAGATGGGCCCAGGACGCAAAAAGTATTTTATATAACTTGGCATTTCATTAACTGAGGTGAATTGTCCCCATGAACCTGTATTAGCAAATAAATTACTCTCCTCTTCCCAGTGATCTGTGTGAGCTGCAGCATGACGGGGAGTCAGCTTTGTCCCTGGACAAGTGTCACACCTGCCTTTTGTCCGTTTGGGGTCAAGCGGTGTCTCTAGACTTCCACTCACTTTTCTCTGCTGGCTCTCTAAAGAGTGTATGTCATCCCCACTGAGGGGTAGAAAATAATGCCTCCCAGCCCTGAGTCCTTAAAGAACCCTAAGACAATTTGGGGGCAGAATGGGGACCCGTTGCAAAAATTCTCTGAAAGAGCATTTTTAAAAGTCACATGATAGAAGCCAGAATGTAGGTGACTGAAGTGAGTGTTTTTTGTTCATTCAGTCAACAAATACGCGTATTAAGCACAAACAGGGTGCCAGAGGCTGTTCAGGTGTTGGTGGTAGAGAGGCTAAAAGGGGGGCAAAACACCAGGGAAGTCACAGAACACTGATACAGAAGGTCACAATTAATAATCAGTGTTAATGTGAAAAAGTTTAAGAATAAAAGATAAATAGAAAGAGAGCAGGGAATGAGAAGAAACATGCATTTTCTTTTTATCTGTATACAGTCTCTGTATACTTCAGTGTTCATGGCTAAGAAGTTAATAATTTCTCTTTCTACCCTGGGTAGTAAGTATACTGGGTAATGGTTGAGCCATTGTTGAGCTGATGATTGCCAGTCAGTGAAAATAGCCAAGGGGAGCTGAAACATGAAATGAAGGGTGATAATTTGGGTGACATCAGCTAGATTCGAATTTCTGGTTTCCATAAAGTATTTCCAAACTACTGGAGTAGGAATGGCAAATAGTTTTGGAAGATTCATTTGAATGCTCACCTCCCACCTTTATCACTGTTACTATTATTGCTGTTGATATTATTTAGAGCACTCCACAGAATTTTTTATTTGGCAAACCTGGTGCATTTACTGAAATCTTCCAAAAGGAATTCAGGCATTTGGTTGGAAGAAATTCCCTCCTCCCCGTAAACCAGTCTGAATTATAGGTGCTGTTCTTCCATTGTTTGGTTGGATTTTTTGCTTTCACATTATAACAAAGATATAATACTTACAATTAACATCATCAGCTAACTTTATCACGTAAAGTCATGTGGGTATTGTTCTTAAAACATGAATTGGCTTAAATCAATTATATTAAGTATAAATTCTATTGTTTTAATGTTCAACATCATAATTATTTTTTCTCAGCTGAGGGACTGATTCTTTTTTCTGCTGATTTCAATGGTGGCTGCTTCATTGCTTGAGGTTTTTGAACTTGCCTTTGGGGGATGGCTCCTGACATCAGTCCATGGACAGACAGTTTCAGTAGAGATGACTGATTCTATTATCATTCAATACGTGTACTGATTATGAAGCTGCTGTTTCATATTTTATTATGGTGGTATCTAGATAATGTGTTATTGGTCTACTTTTTAATGAACTATGGTTGCCATTAGGTCACATACTTTGGAGTCCAATTATGATTTCACCTCTAGAAATAAGAAGTTTATAAAATTTAGCATGTTTTTAATGGCCTTGTTTTAGAGGGCATTCAGAGCCAAAGGGCACATCTAATTATCCTGTTATCCTAAAGGGCATAATAAGAAAGGTGAGAACATGGGCTATCTACTGAAGTCAAACTATCAGCAAGTCAGCAAGGCATGGATGGGCATGACTGAAATACAAATAAGGGTCAAGAAATCTTTCTCAGCCTTGAACTCAACCATGCTGTCCAGCATTGTGGAGGGTGTGGCCCTTGGAACAGGTATCAGTTTAGAAGCCCCTTTTGTGAAAGCATAAACCTGCTTTAATTTATGTTCCTGAAATGACTTGCTTTAATTTGTGGCAAAATATCTTTGAGTTCTCATTTCCTGCCGGGAGGGTTAGATATGAAGGCCAGTCATTGATCCTCTGAGGCATGCTGGAAGAGGTAGGGTTCTCTCAAGCTCAGCCACTATTTTAGCCATCCCTAGTTTATTTGTTTCTCAGTTGGCCCGGAGACTGGTGTACAAACCGGTTGTGTCCTGAAATCAGTTGGTGGGCGATGAACAACCTATTACTGGCTGCTTCGTATTCAAACTTGGGATAGAAAAGAGGCTTTGGTATAAGGAGCTAACAGAATCAGATTATAATAGGGCCATTCCCTATTTCATTGGAATTGCCATAATACAGTGGCATCACTGAGTGTCTTATTGGTCGTCACTGTTTACATGAATATTCTCAAATTGTCTCATGTCCGGTTTTCTTTCGCAGACTCTACACATCCCGTCTATGGAGAATGGGCCGAAGCTGGCGAGCCGGATCTTGGGCAAACTGACTGATATTCAGGTAAGGGCTTCTTTCGGTTAAAATGCCATCTTATCTTAATCAGCTCATAGAACCAAATCATGTCTCAATGGCTGGAAGAGACTAGATTCTGCCACTTGGGGTCAACAAATCAAATTTAAGGAAGATGTTCCTGATAGTATGTGCGGGTATAAGCAATGCAGAGATGGGAAAGAAATGTTTTGAGGGTTTTTTTTTAACAAAAAAGAAAGAAAGAAAATAAATAATTGTCAGGGAGTCCAAATTTTATACACACACACACACACATATGTAATCTAAAAATCTCATTAAAATATATAATACTTTTATAAAAGAAAAAAACCTACAAGTAGAAGAAAGCACAGGGAAAATTTATTATTACCTGTGATGCCAACACTGACCATTGTTAATTTTTGATGTCTCAACTTTTAATATTTTGAAAGCATTTATATATTTTTATGTAATTATATTTTCTAACAAAATGGAGTTACACATACTTTTACCTACTTTTTCATGTAATAAATCATGAGCTTTTTCATATTGAAATAATTTTAGTATGAAATTAAATTGAATTCTATTATATCTATGTATTACAATTTTTAAAGACATCAGCCCTGGCTGGTGTGCCTTAGTGAATTGAGTGCTGGCCTGCAAACCAAAGGTCGCTGGTTTGATTCCCAGTCAGGGCATATACCTGGGTTGCAGGCCAGGTTCCTTGGTTGGGGATGCACAAGAGACAACCACACATTGATGTTTCTCTCCCTTTCTTTCTTCCTTCCTTCCCTTCTCTCTATAAAATCTTTTAAAAAAAAAGAAATCATATTATTGTACATTGATCTTGGTGGCAATTCTTTTACTACTATAAATAGTGCATCCCTGATTATTTCCTTAGGATAAATGCCTGGAATTGTAATTGTTGGGTCCAAAGGTGTGCACACCTATTTTTTTATATGCTAACTTTGTTTTGCCTATGTTTTTGGAGCAACAATCTAATATCTCACAAAGCACTTAAGCAACTTTCTAGGCAAGCATATAAATACCAGGAAATCAGAGACTGTTCTATAATTTGTAAATACTTCAGAAAGTTACCGGGTGATCTCATTGAGCCGATGGGTACCAGTCAGTGAAAATCCCTAAGGGGAGCTGAGATTTATACTGAAACACAAAATGCACTTTGACAGTTTGGGTGATGTCAGATGGTGTTGGATCTTAACACTAAGCAAAGATTCAGGTGGTTGGGCAAGCCGCAGGTCCCTCCAGAGCAACTGAGGTCCTCGGACAGTGATAAACAGTATTTTTGAATACTGAGCACCTTTTATGCAAAACTGGTAATATTAATAAAAGGAAGGAATGATAGTGGCTATTGAATCGATGAGCTTCCTTACCTCTCCTCTTCAACAAATATTTTTCCATAGGAATTTTCTGCAAATTAATTAAAGGGGTATCCTAATATTGAAGGCATAAAATAGATTCAGAGTTGTTTTCTACTAGTATACATAGAAACAATAGGAAGAAACTTAAAGAAATTTAATAAAACTTTCTTCATGGGTGTTTCAGGTGTTTATATGTTTTTTAGAGTTGCCTGAGTAAATCTGATAGAAGTCATGTTAGCAGTGTTTTGCTCAAATAAAAAAAATACAAACAGAACTAAAATATATAATTTGCTAGATTACAAAAGACTTTCTTAAAAATAGAAGTTGAAAGGTCTTTAAGAGGGGAGGAAGTGTGGTTATGGTGATAAGAAAGGAAAACCACTTTGGAAAATGTTCTCGAACAATTTGTACAGAAGAGAATGTTATTTTCTATAGTAGTTAATTCACAAAATGAGATTTCAGGGTTACCTCTGGAGATTATATGAAATAAGAAAATTTGAACTGACTTGATTTGGTTGGAAAGGATCAGAAGAAAAGGAAAATACTCAGCTAGGCTGAGGGGGGAATCAGATTCAATTTGAATGGAAAGAAAGATCTGAGTAGAGGTGTCCGTGAAGCTGCGGCTGAGGAGGGCCAAAGCAGGAATGCGTGTGTCACCCTGGAGGTGGTGACAAATAATGCCTCCGAACCCTCAGTTAGAAGAGAACCCCAAGACATAATTTTGGGGCAGGATGGGAAGCCATTGCAAAAATTCTCAGAATGAGCGTTTATTTTTTATTTTTTAAAAGATTCTATTTATTTATTTATTTTTAGAGAGGGGGAGGAAGGGAGAAGAGATGGAGAGAAACATCAATGTGTATTTGCTTCTCACACAGCCCCCACCGGGGACCTGGCCTGCAACCCAGGGACCTAGACTGGGAATTGAACTGGTGACCCTTTGGTTCTCAGTCGGCACTCATTCCACTAAGCTGCACCAGCCAGGGCAGAAAGAGTGTTTTTAAAAGTAAGATGATAAAAGCCAAGAATGTAGGTGACTGAAGTGAGTGTTTTTGTTCATTCAGTCAACAAATACATCTATTAAGCACAAACAAGGTGCCAGAGACTGTTCAGGTATTGGTGGTACAGTAGCTAAAAGGAGGACAAAACACTAGGGAAGTCACAGAACACTGATACAGAAGGTCACAATTAATACTCAGTGTTAATGTGGCACCATGTGAAAAAGTTTAAGAATAAAAGATAAATAGAGAGCAGAGAATGAGAAGAAACATGCATTTTCTTTTTACCTATATGCAGTCTCCGTACAGTGACTGTGGCTAAGAAGTAGTCGATAATTTCTCTTTTTTCCTTAGGTAGTAAAGTACAGTGGATAATGGCAGTAACATTAAAAACTAATGATACAGTCAAAGCTCATACTGAACAAAGAAACAAAAGGATACAGTTAGTTACACAGAATACATGAGATAATACAATGATTCTGAATTCAACCACAAACCAGAAACACCAACTCTGTTTCAAATTGTTAAGTTACCAAAAGGCCATTGTGCTGAATCTAAGGACACATCTTTCCTCTTCAATTATTTTATGCTTGTGGGCATGGAACCTAAAGTTTCAAAATTAATCTCTTGCAAGATGGCAAATTGGTGCTGTCATCCAAGCTACTAGGTTGTCTGTTTTTCTCCAAGAGAAATAATTTAAGTAGTTATGGAGGAAAAAGCATAGAATTGCATCACATTTCACATTTGATCACTTTGACATTACATGGAAATATGGATATTCCTTACAAAATGCTCTGGTAAATTGAAAAAGAGGAGAGCAACAACAGCCAAAAACAAAACAAAACAAAACAAAAAACCCCAACTTTGAGATTCTTTCCAAGGTGACCTTGAGGGAAAAATTTCTTCTTAAATGCTGATTTGATTTTCACTTAACCTGTTTAGTTCTGTATGTAAGAAAGCATCTGTGAAGTTAAGTATTCATCCCATTTGGCTAATTATTCATATAGTTCCCTGGGTCTTAGATTGTCCTACAAATACCTCTTTGGAGAGAAATATTTCAAATGGCAGTTTCTTTTTTTTTTCCCTTTTCTTTTTTAAGCCACAAAGAAAAACACTTCTGTGCTCATACTTCACCATACTTAAACTTGGAGAACGTGCTCGGTGTCTCCTGTGTTTCTGTTTTCTCCCATTATTCTTTGCTCTTCCACTCACCATCCTTTTTACCTGTGCTCTGACCATTTGGGTCTTTTCTGTTTTCCAACGTGCTTTGCTGTCTGCTGCTTCCTTTCAGCTTCTGCACCTTCTACAATTCGCCCACCTGATAAGGTATCGGTTGTCATTCAAGACACATGTCCTCTAGGAGTCTTAAATCTCCCTTGAATAACATCCCTTCCCCCAGTACAAACACACATTTACCCACTTAAGTGCTGCTTCTTTCTCCAGCTGCCATAGTACTTGGGATCATCACATTATGGCCTTTAATTTATCTTCTGGTTACACACTCATCTTTGTTCTGGGGCTGTTTGAATGTAGGAATTGTTTTATTCTCTTTCTGTAACCCCAGTCATCAGCACAAGATCTGGGACATAGTACATACTGAGTAACATTTCCTGAATAAATGAGAGAGAAATGAATGTGTGAATGACAGAACAAGCACATACTAAAGAACAAAACCTTGTCGCTCTTGTATATTAACACATTCTGAAAAAAGGTGAAAGGAGAGTCTTGAATAATGTCAAATTATTCTTCAAAAAACTTTCGGAGACCCTGATTTAGAATTTTTCAAAGTGACATGCACCTCAGGACTGCTGTGAGGAGTAACTAAAAACTGGAGCCCACCCAGGTATTAAACATCAGGGGCAGCATGTTGAGTGACTGGCAGAGCTGCTGGTGAGTTTCAGAAGGTGGGAAGTAGTGATGGTGGAGACTGAGAGGTGGACATCTGAAACAGTCAGGAAACATGATGCAATTTACAGATGCCATATCATAGAAATGTACACTTGAAACTTATGGAATCTTGTTAACCAATGTAACATCAGTAAATTTAATTAAAAATAGATAAACATCAAGATTTAAAAAAAGACAAGAAAGAAAAGCATGAGTGGGATTTGTATCACTTGCAGGTTACTAGAAAGATTTTTTTTTAAATTCTGTTTTCCCACTAGTGGCTACCACCTTATAAGACTAAATGACCCTTTGTGGTTATGGTATTTTTCTTTTGTTCAGTGGAACCACTTGATGACTTTCGGTTGCAGAAGGAGGCAGAGCCCCATCCCTTTTCCCTGCAGAAGTCCTGAGCTGCCCTGCAGCTGCAGCACGTTCTGAGGGGACATCTCGCAATCCCCCTGATGGTGCCGTCCTTTGACGAGCTTCTTGCCCTCTTCCTGTTTCCTAATACACATGACCCCACATGTTATGGGGTTGCAGAGCTTTGCATGGCCATGAAATAGGATTGGGAAGAAGGACAACGAATTATTACCTTGTGGGCAGTGCTTATTATATTTTTATGATATTACAGAAACTAAGTACATAACACAGAGGTTGTCCTTCTATGTTGCTAGGAATTCTCTGCTGAATGTAAAAGGCCTTTTAGCAAGGGACATGTAAAATTATTTGCCATACATATGTTGCCTGTGAGGTAATGAACTTGTCATTAGTCATGTTTTGGTTGAGTGTTCAACGGGCATTCGTGAAAAGAAAAATTCTGCATACCACTCAGATAGTTTTCTGCATAGGCTGAAAGTACCCTCCCCCTGCCTCAGTGTGATTGGCTGTGTCGCTTTAACCCCATGCTGGACTCCAGTGAAAATCAAGTACCTGTGACTAACAGGAGGACTGACAGGTGTTGAAGGCATGGGCCAGCTGCTGTGGTTGGTAATGACCCTGACAATGGTAGGAGGACAGCCTAACCCATGCTGGTACTGCTCTTTCTCCAACCTCCTCTGGACACCTACTCTTGGGAAAGCATATAATTTTGTCTCTGCTACAATCTGCCATCTGTACTTTGAGTTATTTTCCTTACAAAATTAAATTGGATTATCCATCATCCACATGAAAAGTTTGATTGCTAACTGCCTAGGTCTAGACATTATGAATTACCTGTATTATCCTATCTCTTGGATACACCTCAGAATGCTATGATTTCACATAAAAGCATAAATTGCAGGATGGGGGGGGAACTGAATACATATTATGTAGGTTCACAGAGCAATATGGCCTATGACTGTCACTGAAACCCAAATTGATTTTCCACTGCTTATAAAACTAAAACAACTAATTGAAAGCAAATTTACTTTAACCAATGAGATTCAAGATGAAATTATAGTGGTCATGAATCACAGTTCTGTATACCTGCTAAAATGTCAATATGCTGACATTCAAATATTATTAATGGCAAAAGTATCTAATGTATTCATGGGAATACAAATAAGGAAAATAAAAGACATATTTTGTTCTTCTCTTCCATCATGTTGACAGCACACGTAAATCCGGAAGAATTTGGGAATGTTTTATTCAGCATTCATCATGAATCAGCCAATAGTGAGAGGCCACCCTCTTTACATACCAATTTGTTTTATTTTTAAAAATGATTTTATTTATTTATTATTTTTAGACAGAGGAGAAGGGAGGGAGAAAGAGAGGGAGAGAAACATCATTGTGTGGTTGCCTCTTACATGTCCCCCACCGGGGACCTGGCCTGCAACCCAGGCATGTGCCCTGACTGGGAACCAAACTGGTGACCCCTTGGTTTGCAGGTCCGTGCTCCATCCGCTGAGCCACACCAGCCAGGGCTAGACACTGATTTCTGATGTGGATTAAGCCAGTTGCTGGGCTTCCTTCATTCTCCTTTTCATTTAAACCAGAAGGTTGTAGGTCGACCCATTCATGGTTCCCAGTAATTTTTCTGGTTTGGGAAATCCTGAGGTCTTCAACATGGCACTTGGACCATGTGACAAAGGAGAAACTGCAGTGGGCAGAGGCAGGAGAACCGAGCTTGTGACCATGAGTTTCCTAGACCCTTAGTGTCTTTATATGTAAAATTAGAAGCTTCCTCAAGAGTCCATTGCTTTTCACATTTGATTTCTAAGCAATAGTACTTTCTACAAAAGAAATCTTTCCTGGAATCCCAGTATACAAAACCAGTAAGAGTGGAATTGTTCTCGAGGTAAAGAAGTAAAACCCAGAACCTTACTTACTTGGTTCATTCAAATAAGGTGATCAATAAGGTTCTTTTCAACTCAGAGTTTTCAAATGTTTTGTATCAATTTCAGCCTAAGTTACATTAGGACTAAAGAGCCAATTCGTGGGGAGAAGGGGCTACCCTCTGATTTAGGTGAACACTGAGTGGCAGACTTCATGACGTGCCACTTTGGGGAGATGCATCTCTTCCAAGTCAGGCTGCACACATGACTCTGAAGACATGTGGAGGGAAATCTAGACGGTGGTCAGGAATGTGGTTTTGGTGGCGAGAGAGACCTTGACTGGAGTCTGGGCTCCACCTTTTATTCAGCATAATCTTAAGTGTGTTGTTTAGTCTCACCGATAAACAGTTTTCTCATTTATAAAATAAAGCAGGATTGATAAAGGCACCTGCTGTCTGGGGTTCCAGTGGGGTTAAATGAGGTAGTCAGTCTGTACGGCTCTTGGTGCGCTGGGGCTGGTGTGCAATACTTGCTCAAAGGTGAACATTCATTTAAATACATGTTTGTTAAATGAATGAATGAATGAATGAATGAACAGGTGAATATAGAATTAGCTTTCTGTTTTTGATACCTCAAATATCTTTATGTTTCATTTACTTCAGTTTTAAATATTAAAATTTAGGTCTGCTAAAGCAAATTTGCAGATGCAAATAATCTGACTATGATTATGCTACAGGTCCATGATTCTCAAAGGGATAAGAAAAACTGGGACACTAACATAATACAAACAACTTTCATTTAGAAAACAAAGTCACTGTGCAGATCCGCTGGGCTTGTCAATATAATATTGTGTTTTGTCCATGAACATAAAATGCTCTTGAGAAAGGGGATTTTAGAGCAGTTGCTCTCAAACTTCAGCTCCCAACAGAGTCTCTTGAAATGCTAGTTGAACCCCAGGTTGCTAGGATATACCCGAAGCTTCTGATTCAGGAAGTCCGGGGTGGGGCTTGAGGATGCCCATTTCTAACATCCTGCTAGGCAACGCCAGTGCTGCTGGTCTGGGGAACAAACTTTGAGCATCACTGCTTCAGAGTAAGGATGATAATAGTTAAAGTCAGTCTGGAGAGCAGAAGCTAAATACAGAATGGTAATGAAAAGGCATGCCCTTAAATCTATCAGGGACCTTCTTCAACTATAAATTGGAGTTCAACAATAATTAAATATTTTGTAATTCTTTCCAGGTATTTGGCTGTTTCTGTCTGACCCTATTTTTATTGTGTATATACTTTTAATGTTCAAAACATAAGTGAACCCTTTGTACAGCCTCTTAGCTTATATACTGAAGGATGTTTTCTTGTTTTTGTTGTAGTATGGAAGAGAAGAGAGTGACTGGACAATCATCGTATCCTGAATGGAAAATACAGCATTATTACCTGTGTGTTATGGGGACAGAGTGTTGCTTTCGAATTATGATATGTTCTTTGGCTACTTGTTTTTAGTTGTGCGTAATGTAGTTTATATTATCCATGTTAGGAGGGTGATTGTTTCCTCATGCCAGAGAAAATAAATTGCAATCATCAAATGGTGTTTTGTAAACTTGGTAGTAGAAGCTTATGTTACCTTCCCTTAGAAAGATTATAATAATGTAAGCCATATAGCATAGAATTTCCTCAGTATTCTTGGTGCCTCTCTTGGTACTTCATTCAGAATAAACAAAAATGTTTGTTTATTCTTTAGCATAAGTATTATTCTGCTCCTCAACCAAATGAGTTGTGTTGTGTGTGTTTAGAAGCTGATCTGAGTAAATTTCAGAGGTAACACTTCCTGTGACACATTTCCACCCTCAGAAGGTGTTTTGTTGTTTGAAGTCAAGACTTGGAAGAACTGTATTTCCTCATGTCACGTTTGTTTTGCAGGCCCCCAAGTCCATCTCTAGGGGCATCTCTCCTGTCTCCCTGATGTCACGATCTCTCTTCGTGCATCAGTAGGACCCGTGCACACTTCCGCCATCGCCCTTTCCATGTTGTGTCATAGGTAATTGGCTGCTTGGTAGACTCCACTACATCACTGAGGGTCTGTGCCTTAGAGATCTTTGTGTCCCCGATGCCTGGCACATAATAGGTACTCAGTAAATAATGACTAAATGAATATTTACCTTCTATAGAAGTGAACCTTCTTTGTTTCTATATTACGAAACCTCTTTATTAGAATTGTGATTGATTCTGACATTGTGTGTATTTACCTCATAATGTCTTTATTTTCCATGGACTGCTCAGTTATTAGAGATACTCAGAAGCATTGTTCCTCAGAGGAATTGCTTCATGTGTAAAGACTGTCTTGGAATTGCAGTTATAACTCTACAGAGAAGTCATAGCGTTGAACCAACCAAATGGAAATGACAAATGTTGTATATTAAGTGTTAAATATAAAATAAATCATCTCAATTTGTTTTTTAGTAGAAAGCAGAGAGGTATACTCTGGTCTTTATACTTTTGGTTTTATAGGTGCTCTTTTCTGTTGAATAGGGAGATGACACATGATTAGGGTACACTGAATGCAATTATAGATGTCATTTTCCCTGTTTAGGAGCTCAGAGTTAAAATTGTATCCTGGTTTATTTAGGAGAAAGTGAAAATAAAATAGAAAACATTTACCCTTGGAAGGTCAACTCTTAAACATTATATTTGGGTTTCCTTCAGTACTAATAACTTTCATCTTGCTGGTCATATTTTATTCTCTTTTCAAAGCAAGGGGAAAACTTTCTAAAAGTTCAGTACCTTGGAAAATTTTCCTTAAGGCACATAGCTGCACATAGCAAATGGGGCTTTGATTCTTTTCTAAGACTTTTGGCCATGGGGTCTTTTTAGATAGGAAGGGTAAAATGAAAATTAGGGAAGTATAACATGAAAAAGAATGGTAAAAATATTTTTAGGGGGCTTTTAATTGTTGATCAGAAGTACCTGTTCGTCTCAGGCCTCAGGTAATTTATCTTTCTCTATACTCCTTCTCCCAGTAACATGCTAAGGGTATGTATTGCTTTGGCTAAATCCTGGGAACTCATTAAAAATTTTTTTAATTGTTGTTTAATTACATTTATCCCCCCCCCATTGATGTCCCCTGACCTTCCCCCCCCATATTCAATCCTCCCCACCCCCCTTGTCCTTGTCCATGGGTCCTTTATACATGTTCCTTGACTTGACCCTTCCCCTTCTTTCCCTAGTTATCCCCCACATGTGTCCCCTCTGGCCACTGACAGTTTGTTCTTTACTCCCCACTCATTTTTCATATAGTATTCTAGAAAAGACTTCTAGGTAATTTTAACCTGTCAGGTAGCACATAAGTGACCAGACTCACATTTCTATGAAAAATGGAAATTGTTTGTTTGCCATAAATGCCTTTTCTACTTTGCATCTCTAAACTTAGTATGACAAGACATGCCCATTATAAAAGCTAGAGAACAACGTTTTGACATTGTGTCTGTATTTAAACAAACTGAGGGTATCCTAAAACAGAGAACACAATCTGCCATTCTCCTTCAAGTAATAAGACAGGAAATTGACCTTGACACTAACTTGTTAAGTAGATTTAAAAGGAACATCTGCACATCTCTTTTCCTTATGCACTATTTGTTTAATTGTCGTGGATTAATACAGCAAGAGTGGCACATTATAACTAGGCAATTATCCATTCTTCAGGGCTTAGTTATCCTAACACTAATTGATCATTTAAGGTGTAAGATAGTGTAGCATTAGGAACATGTAAGGCTAATCTGCTCAAAAAGATCAACAAATTAATATTGTTGCTGATATTTGCATAATTGGCTGCAATTATTTAATGTTTAATTGGTTGATCAAATGAGATTCAGCAATTCACATGTGCATGAATAGAAACAGAACTGGTGGCACTTGAAATGATAATGATTAACTTATTTTGCATGTTCTCTTCCTCCCACATTTTTTTTTTTCATTTCAGACCAAGTTTGTCAGCTTTTTCCAGCAGATCCGTAGAAACCAAATTTTAAAATGAAACATTCCAACATAGACAAAACATGGGCATTTCCTGAAGATATTTGCTATTGGAGATATTCTGAGTTACAGTAGTTTATTAAGGACTAACTCATAGCACCAAAAGAAGGGTCCACGTCAGGGATGTGCACTGAGCAGCTGGCAGAATGAATCAGTTAGTTAATAGTACCTGCTCTCCCCTTTGCTTTCAAAAATACAAAGGAAAAGTTAAAGGGAAAGAGAAATGACTGAGACACTTGTTAAGGGATTGTGTTTTTCTTCCCTGGTAAACACCCTTTATTCTTTTCTCAAAAGATTTCTGTAAGTAAAGGGGAAAAAAAGATCAGAGGTAGCAGCAAGAAAGTGCAGAGCTTCGTCAACTACGTGACATGTCATGTGAGCACCCCTGAGGCCTACATTATGTATATACACCCTGGGTTAAAATTCCTCACCATATCAGTTTTGTTGCTTGATACAATTGTATCTAAACAAGCGGTCTTGCTTTCTTCAAATCAGGCCATTCTTGGGCACTTGAAGGCAATTAATGAGTATATATCTTAGTCAAAAGAATAGTAGGAGCCCATTATTAAAGCTGCAGTTTGAACTCTGCTTTAGGGCTTTGTGCTGTGAAATCGGCTGCCAAAATAAGCTTATTTATTTTCCCCCCTTGGAGGGCAATCATTGTATTCTTTTTTCTTCAAAAGTTTATTTTTAAAATTATGTGTTTGGTTTGCCCTTATGATTGGGGAAAATGTGTTTTAAGCAGAAAATGATAGCATTTGTTCACTTTCAAGGACTGATATTGAAAATATTAGAGTCATAAATATTCATTGCATGCATTAAAGCAAAGGGCTTAACCAGGGGTTGGAGAAACATTGTGAGGAGCCCTTATTTCATGTCCTGATTCTAAATATGATCAAAGAATTCTTCCTTGTAATGTGGATTTGCAGAAACCTAGTTACACACAGTAATGCCGGCAAGTAATTTTAGTGGACACTTTGCCTTGTCACTTGGCTTTGCAACAAGAAGAGTTTGTTCAGCCATCTCTTTTCCAGATCTCTCTTTGAAAAGGAGGCAAAGGGTACCAGCTTTTCAATAACCATAACCTATAAATTGATGAGGATCATGAAGATTGTTGTGATTTGATCAGTTAATTTGATAAATGTTGATTGAGTACTCATATGTACATCTAACCCAACTTGCAATAGGAATTAGGAAGTTAGTTTTAGAAAATAAATAGTACATATAGTATACTTCCCTCAAGTTGTTTATATGTACTACTTAAACAAAAACACAGTATGATAATAAAGAACCAGAGACCAGAACACATCTCTTAATAAGAAATTACAATGAATATTTTCATCTCATTTTTAAAGGGTATTTGCCCTTTAAAATATTTCTTTTTTCCTCTAGTCAAAACTACTCAGTCTGGTTAGTAGTTAGGAGTTATTCAGCCACTGCCTTGTGGTGTGAATCACCTCCTCTAGTTTACTACTTACTGCCAGTCCTTAGCCCATTTGTTAGCTGCATTCCCCCAGAGCACTGCTGAGTCATCGTGGTGCACCTAACAAAGAAACACCTCGAATCACAGCATCTTTGCTGACCTCAGAGTTAGATAATACTGAAGTAAAATCTTCCTGGTATGAATTTTTTGAGGAAAATGTCTGTTTAAGAGCATTTGCTTGAAAATAATGGATCTAGCTACTCAAAAAAAATAGGTGCAAGACTAACTTTAATAATGATTTTTCACAATTTGAGATTTTAAAATAAAAGTAAATTAAACCATTGCAAAGAGATTCATTTTTATCCTTGCCAAAAAGCCCTTCAAAAATACAAAGGTAGAAGAAAGTGATTTATTTTCATTTTCAACATACATATCATAATAAAATACTTAGATATTTTGGGGAGGAAGGTTGGTAATGAAATGTATCAAAAGGCTATAGTACTATTTGTGGGTAAATAATTCCTTGAGATCATATATATGTATATATTTGCTTTAATGAATGTTAGGGCATAAAATTTTTAGTCTGAGAAAATGAAGTAGTCTTTGAAATCTGCTAAGTGTAAGTACTGAAGTTTTAGGTAATCTTATTCTGTCAAAAGTATATTTTTTTACCCCATAATAGATACAGTTAGTAAAGCCTAAAACTTAAGTTGCATGGTGTTCAACTTACAGAATCTGCTGTTGGGATTGTAAGGTCAACTCTAAGCTGTGGTATGGGAGTGAATTAAAACGTAGTTTCCTCAACAGATTTTTCTGCATAACCACTACCACAGTGGCTACATTCCTTGTTACCCATTAGTGACTTATGGAGGAAAATTTATCTAGACAAGATATCAGAGGAAGAACAACTGGAGGTAGAGAAAGAAAGGAATGATAGGGAAAAAAGGAATCAGGCTTGCTTCTGCATTTTCCAAAGGAGCTTTTTTCATATTCTGCCAGCCACAGGGATCTTCAGCTTTCAACACAGGTGCCAAACACGAAGACTCCTGCCAATTAGGAAGTGACCAAATGTAGTGGCAGCTCATCAGACGTGAGAATTAGGCTATGGTCATTAGGTAATAATCTGAGGGTTGTGTTCCATGGAAACTGCTGTAGATGACGACCTATATGAGCAATGCTTTATTGTATAATTGCATAGTCTACATGATCTGTTGTGGCATTTCTACAGTGGTCTGATTCTAAGATTTGTGAAGCTTCTTGAGGCTGAATAAAAGCATAAGTGACAAGGAGTAGATTGTGGCCGGATTAGACTGGGACTATTTGTCCTCCTTAGGAATAGTATTTACCAATACCCCCTTTTCTTGGTGGAGATGGACTGATTGGGAAATTAGTTGGATATTATCATTTAGTGTTTAACTAAAATGTGCGACAACATGCAATTTCCTCAAGCTCATTTCATGTGGCCATTAAAGTCATTCCCAGGTTTAAAAAAGGAATTCAGACAGATGCCTCAATTTCTATTTCATTGATGTGTTTTTGAAGAATGCAAGAATTCTCTCAAGAGTATGGCTGTAAGCAGTTTTTGAATCATCTTAAAAATAAGCTAGCCACCTCTGTGTGCATCTGTAAATTGCTTCCCCATTGATGATGAGAATGAATGATCCTACTATCCACTCGACTAGCTAGTATGTGGAGCCTAGCCCACCATTCTGAAGAATTTGTGCTTACTTGAGAAAATAACTTGTTTGAGGAAGTCATTTTTAAATCAGAGTTTAAAGATAGAGGAGAATATCAGCTTAACTGTGGAATTTTCAAAACATGTTCTCACATCTAAATTTGATTGTAATGAAAAACCACAGCCACTGCTAATTGCAAATTTCACAAGTTGTGTAGTGATTCTTGAAATTCTGTTTAAGAAAACTCAAGTAGAAGGAAATAAACACTTTGTTTATTTCCAGGGCCCTGGTGGTGTAGCTCAGTGGATTGAGTGCGGGCCTGCAAACCAAAGGGTCCCCGGTTTGACTCCCAGTCAGGGCACATGCCTGGGTTGTGGGCTAGGTCCCCAGTAGGGGATGAGCAAGAGGCAACCACACACTGATGTTTCTCTCCCTCTCTTTCTCCTTCCCTTTCCCTCTCTCTACAAATAAATAAGGTCTTTTAAAAAATAAGGATTTCATAAAAAATTGTTAAAAGTATGTTAAAAGGAATTTAGGCTCACTAAAAGCATAATGATGGAAATGTGGAAAATAGAGTGGGTAAAGGAAACTACTTCATTTTTTTGAAGGTTTAATGGAAGCACAATGAACTTTAAAAAATGGCTTTGTTACATATGAAGCATCTGGTGTAAAAGAACCCTGCAGTGTCTAAAGGACCTGGAATAATTGTATTTTGCTAGCAATAGACACATTCTTCATTGTCTGTGGGTTCTTCACCAGATCTTTAATTATGCACTGTTTCTGTCATCAATAAAACAACTTAAAGGAATCTTGTTTGTGTAGTCCCTTGAAATTGGCATTGTTGAATGCATGAAATAATAATGCTTAATTATCATTTTAATGCTGTTCCAAGGTTTTTGGTTGTGGGATGTAAATGTAGTGTGGTATTTTTAAACCAAAATGACATTGAGAGAATGAAAAGAATTGAATACCC